CCGCCTGCCAGTCTTTGGCCGAAATCTTGTAGGTAACACCGCTAAACGTCACCTCAATCGGAGAGTCGCTGCACGGAACATACCATGTGACCTCGTCTACCGTCGTGGAACCAGGAATAAGCTTATGGAGAGCCGTGACATCCGCTGGCGGTCCAAAGGCAAACGAAGTGCCCGTATCAATGTACGTCGTACGGCCCTGGAAGGTCACCTTTTTGCCTCCAAATCCAAAGCCGTCAATGGGAATGATCCAAGCGCCCCTGTTATCCTTGGCCAGATTCGTGTAGGTAATGTCACCCGTGTACTTGGAAGGGTCGACACCTCCAAACGTGATCTGACCTTCGTTGACTGGGTCCGAAGCTCGGCCCAGAGTGACGGCAAAAATGTTGCTTTGGAGAACCTTTTGGTTCACAAGCTCGGTTATGAAACCGTCTGTGCCCCCCACGGCCATGTCAAGGCCAAGAATGCCATCGAAGGCGAAATGAGTAAAGTCACTAGATGTCTCATTGGCCAACCCGAAGGCCATATCGAGGGAGATTCCGGCAACCGAGATGGTATCACGGGCGAGAGTGCCGGCAACAGCGCCAGTTCCATAGGCAAGACGAAACTCCTTGCTCTGCAGCTTGAGCGTCTTGGAGTCGTCAACCCCGAAAAGGTTGTGGTAGATGCAGGCGTCGCTCTTGCATGTCGAGCCCATGATCCACGCCGTCGAGGAACCGGTGTCTAGGAGCATATACAACGGCTTCTTTGACGAACCAAACTGAACTTTGGCGAAATAGGCGTAGTCCGAAGGGTCGTGGTAGATGCCCGCGCTATCCTTCCTGTTTGTACTCTCGGGTTCGACAACGGCATACGTATTAGTCCTGGCTGCCAGCCTGCCGGACCTCCTTTTTGGTACTCGCGTGCTATCCAAGCTAGCAAATCTGTGTGCAATTCGCTTGGCGTCTCGGGCAGCTCGGGCAGCGCCAGCTTCGGGACTCTCATTAGGCTACCAGATTGAGCGTGTTAGCCTGCATCAATTGCTGAGAATAACCGTTGGACATCCGAGAAAAGAACAGAACGTACATCGGCGTTTCTTTGCTCCACACTGAGACTGATAAACCCGTCCGGTGCGGGTTCACCTCCAGGCGGCGATGGAGAATGGAATTGACCTCCAGCTCCCACAAGCGTCTTTCCTCTAACATCGTTACTACCGCTCACATAACAAGGCTCCCCTGGATCGCATGGTAGAGGAGGCCAGATGAAGAAGGCGCAAGCTGAGGTGGCCAAGAGCGTAAGCTCTAGGAGCTTAGGTATCCCAACCATTGTTGAGAACACTGGTCACTGACCCTCAGCGAGTCAATCCACCACAATCGAGGTCGTTGTTCGGATACTGGGCTCCTGTCCTGATATCGGCAAATGTGTCGATGACCTAAAACACTTTGACGGTGGGTATCCGTGAGTGATATGCACAGGCTCCTAGTTGTTATGCCTCAAGTCTTCAACCCCAAAGAATGAAGATGGTTTCTGACTGAATGACTTTAGGTTTCGTTGTTGACCGACCCAAGGTCGCGAGAGATGGAATTATTGCAATTAGCGATTATTTAAGCATTGGGAAAGATGAGTGAACGGTTGTGATTATGTGCATTGGTGGTCGCCGATAATGTTATGAACGTGAAAAGAGAAAAGACAGATTGCCGAACGATGCGATGCGGTTGTATGTATCCGAACAAGATGGAGAAATCGTGGTGTGGTGGTGAGGGGGTGGAACGAATCGACGTCGAGGTCAATATCGGTTCGAGATCGTTTGTGGCGGGAAAAAACCAAATGCTGATATGCTTGATGCAGATGCTAATGCAAGGCAAAACGGTAGGTAGGACGCGCGGTGCTTGTGGCAGATGTACAGATGGCGGCGGATTGGATTGCCGAAGCTTGATGTATGTATGTAGGCCAAGCCCTAGTGGAGGAGGAAATCCGTCTGGATGGTGATCGCAAAACTGCGCTTGTTGCCCGCCGTCGACACTGCGGATAGTATGAGTGGGCGTTGGTGGATCTAACAAAGAGTGGAATAAACAAAAATGACAACACCCGCCCGGTAGTAGTAGTATCTATTCAAAGGAAAGTACGAAGTAACAAAGTCTCCCGAAGCTCCCCTGGCATAGCCAAATGCAGGCGGAGGAAGTTGTCAGGGTACTTGGGTAGAGGAGGAGCAGGAGGAGGAAGACGGGAGAGGAGGAAGTGATGGTGGTGGTGGTGGTGGGTGTTTGGGGAGTTGGAGAAAGAGAAAGTCAACTTGAATGGAATGGGGACATTGGATGTGTGATGAACCGTTAAAGGTAAGGCACTGTACCTACCATTGAGCCATCCAGCCCCCGTCCCGCCATGCACTGAACTGATAGTGGACATGCAGCCTTTTCTAGACTTGGCAAGTGGATATCAGGAGGAGCCTGGGAGGCCACAACGAAAAGGGAAGCGAGCGAGACATGGCTGAGGTGCATCCCTCGTGGACGAGGATTCCCGTCCAAGCCAATCGATGGATGCCAATTCCTTCCACAACCAGTCAAGCGTTTTGGGGTTTCTGGAAAACAAGATCCTCTTGACTCGGATATAACCCCTTCAGTTGGGAAATTCAAAGGCTTATCATCACTGACGATGATAATGTTCTTACCTTGCTCCCCTCTGTTTACTTGAAATTCCAGGGACTCGGTCCAAGAAACCGTTGGTTTTGTCTCGAGAAGTGCGGAGAGAGAGAGCCTCTAGTTCTACCCGTACGCTAAAACAACCCAGAGATTCAAGATAGCCCAATTGCGATGGACATACTTGCTCGGTAGCAATAGCCCGGAGGGACAACTGGACGTCACGCTAGTTCGGGCTTGTGGTAGCCTCTTTGTTGTACCGCCCAAACTCTCGAGCCGGTGTAATACTAGTACAGAACGAAGGGGTGTAGTGTAGGTAGGTAGTGACAGCGAACCTCAAGTGAACCGCAATGAAGCAACGTAACAATCGCCAAGGAATGATTCTCAAGAGTATGTAAGCGGGAATAAAAATGAAAACGACAGTCGACACTCACTCGCATCAACAACATCAACATCATCCAAGATTCTTTCTTGGCCTCGAACATGGCGAGGGTCATTCATTGCCGACGAGCGGGTCCGCGGCTCCATCTTCATAAGAAGATCGCTTCTTTAGATAGGACCCTGGTCCCTGATCGTGCGCGCAGCCTCTGTCTCTCTGGAGAAGCTCCCCCCATTCCCGAGATGCGGTTGGCCAGACTTATCACAACAGATGAACAAGCTCCGGGTGGAGATGGCACAAGGCCATTTCGGCTCCATCTTCTGATCCGTGCGTCTGCACCCAATCTGCGGCGTACCTCCACTCTGGATGGAACGCCTCACTCGGCTCCCTGTCAGATCAGTCAACGCAAGAAAATGGGTTTCCATTTTCATGACTTGGGGGGTCACCTGGAACCCTGAATTGTTGGTGTCTGGCTGGCCGCTGGAGTCTGGAAAGCCCAGTCTGTTCACCCCTTCCGGGAACTTCGGCGACGATTTATAAACGGCACTCTTGTGAACAACACCAACGACGACCGAAGACGACCATGTTGTTGATAATGACAACGGTAACCTGGATGATCATGCTTGCCAGATCTCGTATCTTGGAATCGTCCTGTCAATGTTTCCAAATTTGGTATGTCTTTTCCCTTGTCTTGAATCATGTATAATTTCTCCTTTTCCTCCCTTTGTCTTTCTTGCGCCTCATCTTCTTCGCTCTCTGCCGTTGCGGCTGCTGTTGGCGTAGCATGCGCTGGCCGCTTCGGGTCTAAGGCTGCGGGGTGTCAATTTGGGGACGACAGGGGCTGGAAGCCAGTGCTTGCAACACGGGAGCAGGGGGGGCAAGAGGGCCGGTTGGGACTGGACCGGGGAGAGAGCAGGGGAATGGAAGGCCCACAATGTACAGTATAGCGACAACACACAACAACAACAGCGACAACAACGCCGAGCCGACGGGTGCCAAGTTGCGAAATTGGGCTTGAAAGCGCAGACGTTCTCGATTTGCTCCCACTGCCACTGGTCCCTTTAAATCCGGGGGTCAGGAAACCAAGACGGACTTTCGGACGAGTCAAGCCATCCGTGACCTTGACGGACCGGACGCTTGTGCCGAAGCCGAACGAAACCTCGCCTCAAGCCGTACACTACATTTCTACAACCACAAAACAAAGATGTCGTGTTGTCCCATCCCCAAGGTTTCTTAAGCTTCGGTAGGTATGATTTTTCTCCCTGGACTCTGGAGCAAATAATGTTTTCACAAAGAGAGCAGTCCCTCTCTTTGAATCTGAAACTTTACAGATGAACATTGCTTGCGCTTGGTCGAGCTTCGCTGCAACCGGAAGTTCACTGGAGACTGGATGCTGAGAGCCTGAAACCACACCTGTAACTATATGTGGTTACACACAATGGCTCATGACAACGACCCGCAACAATGACGAGTCTCGAAATCATACCACAACAATGGGGGAGGAACCCGAGTTTCTGCGTTCTGATACATGCGGGTCAATCACCCTCAAGGCCGGTTGGTTGGTTGTTTGGGTGGTTGGTCGGTTGGTGATATAGCTGACAATGCGAATCGTATCATGTATTGTGCTACCGATTGCGTTGGGGGGCGTGGGGGTGTTTTCCCCGGTCTCGACTCTCTGGAGAATATATATCCCCATGTTACTATCACGGTATTGTTCCGAGATAACAGGGCGAGACATTGCTTCGGTTATCGGTTTACGATACCCTGACTCTCTTCATACGAGCTTTTTTTTTTCTAAATAGGTATATTAATTTCACATCTGCAGGGCAGATGGCATGGGTTCGGGTTTTTGGGAACAAGCTTTTCGGCTCTGGTTTTCTTCTCTGTCATGACTGTTGACGATGTTATAGGTAGAGTTGTTGGATCATGGCCATAAGGAAGGTGCAGTGGTGGCAGCGCTCGACCGACCTAGGTATTCGGGTCCATACGGCCATAACCTCTCTGTTTTTGCCGTCATCGAAGACCGACTGCTTTCGGCGGGATCCACAAGCCATCTTTAAATCGAAGCTGGGCAGTGATAGACATTGGATTACCGTTTAGAGGTTCCTTGTTTTCGATAGTCGTAAGCCATTCCTTTGCTGCTGGATCCTGGATGTGCTGCTAGCCTACAGCACACGGCCGAAAAGACGTGCCAAATGCCGAAGATGGATGTCTTCGAAAAGTCTGTGGCGTTTCGTTTATGTTTCTTTTTGAAACGATGTGTTCAGCAGCCCAGGTTCAACTACAAGTCCTTCCTGCACTGGTAAGTCTCGTACCAATCCAATGCTGAACGTAGAACCCTTGAATCCCCAAATCTGTCCATATGTGGTTGAGAGAACTGTGCCCCCAAGGTAGTGAACTGTTCAAGCTCCTTTCCGCCAACAAGTCCCGATGCTGCCAACGTCCTCAGGAACACCCAGAGAGACTCATTCGTGACACGATAAGATGCAGCAAAATTGAGAACATCCGAAAATGTCGACGAGAGACTGATATCATCTCCACATATGTCCCGCCCCGAGCAATCGTAATTGTCCAGAAGGTGGTAGAGAAACGACCAACCAGAAATGTCCTTGTGATGTTCAAAGCACCATTTCTTAACGGCCGCTAGAATGTTGATGTGGGGATTATAGCCACTCCATTCCTTCGCTACTAAGCCGACAAGATATCGAGCGTGGCACCATGCGTAATAGTTGCGAGGATGTCGTTCTCCGGCCAGAAACACAACATTTTCTAAATCTCCAAGAACGTCCACCCTAACGCCCAGCGAACTGTGCAGCCCGACTAGCCACCGGCGGTGGTTCCATAGAGTGGGCGACTTGGTATGGCGGTGCAATCGACTAGTAAGCAGGCTGTCCAGGAACATCTTTTCTTTCGTCAGCACGGTCCAGGCGTGTTGATTGTCGTTTAACTGCTTTTGGATGAGTCGCTTCCGCGTGTTCGCGGCCGTGAGAAACTCGGGATCCATAAGAAGGATGACCGCTGTCGCGGCGAACAAATCGTCGTCGATCTGCGGCGACGAAGAACTGCCAGTGATGTGATCTTGGAGTATCTTCCGCGCAACGAGGAACGCTTGAACCAGCCCAAGCTTCGATATTCCTACTGATATTCCATCTTGAAGCACATATGTTCCCTCGGGCAGCGGGATCTCCTTGCCGAGAATTTCAATCTCGAGGCGGCCACAAGATGGGGGGGTGGTCAGAATTGGAGAGATGGAACTGTAGGCTGCTTGAGGGTTGCCGACCTTCAGGGCAGCGATAGTGGATTTGTCCAGTGCCCTCGACATGGTAGAAGGAAGAGAGAAGAGCAACAGCGTAGTGCTTTTCGAACGTGCTGCACTGTCGTAATGCGTTGCCCGTTGATGTTTGTCCAAAATGATGGTCACCAACCCTAACCCGTCTACTCATCCCATCAGGGGCAGTTCAGTTTCTTGGCGGCTTCCAGGTCCTTCCCGCATTCCATCCTGTCGCCCCACCATCACAGGAAGAGATAAGCGACCGATAGGCCCTTTGTGCAGGTGTCCTCCAGCTGCAGGGAACAACTGGCACCTTCTGACAGCTCCGTCATAGCTTCGATCATAGGATCCAACAATCTTTTGGGGGAAAGGCGGTGGCATGAGCCAGTGAGCTGCCTCCATCTGTCTCCAACAACTCGAACTAGGTCGCATACTCGACAGCTAGAGCTGGCCGATCGCATCTCTCACCACGATTCCATCAGCAGCGGACCGAAGCCAGCTCACATTCGCCGCCAAGATGCCGTCTCTACTGGTCGTCATCTTTGTCATCGAGCTGTTCGTCCAGCTTGTCAACACCATCGGCGCGGCGACGATCAACAATCTTGTACGTGCTTTTGATCTCATACCCACTATGACTATCAAAGAGCCACCGGAGTAGCTAACTGCGTTGCCCATCACAGTTGTGGCGCATCGCCCTATCTCTCCCGCTTCCCCTCTCGGCCCAGTTCGCTGCCCAGCGCAAGAAGCAGAAGGAGTATCTCGCAATCCGCCGCGAGCTCAACGCCACCAGCAGTCAGGATGAGTTCGCCAAGTGGGCGCGCCTTCGCCGCCAGCATGACAAGCTGCTAGAGGACTTGGAGAAGAGGAGTAGGATACCCCTCCGGACAACGACGTCAAATCTCGAGGAGATAGACAGAACGCTGTGGGCTGACATGTGATGCGAACAACTACAGAGAAAGAACTCGACGCAGCCAAGACCAAGTTCGATCGCACTCTCACGACTGTGCGCGTGGTAGCTACAAGGGGTTTGCAGTGGTTTTTGCCTTTCTGGTACTCGCGCGAGCCCATGTTCTGGCTGCCCTACGGCTGGTTCCCCTACTACGTCGAATGGTTCGCCTCGTTCCCTCGCGCGCCGCTGGGCAGTGTCAGCATCGTGGTGTGGCAGTGGGCGTGCACGGGTGTGATCAAGCTTGTCATTGAGACGGTCATGGCGGTTGTTGGCTTGATTGTCGCTGCCAGACAGAAGCAGCAAGAGAAGCAGAAGGCGAAGCAGGCGGTGCCTGCGGCGGGAGGTGGTGACAGCAAGGCCGAGGAAGCCAAGTGATGATGAGGATGGACTTGGAACATACAGCAATAGAAGCGGTTTATGTCAGCATATGAGAGGAAGATTGTATACACGACTATTAATGTATTATAGCCGCTGACTGGTGAGAAAGCCAGCAAGGCCTGATGATGCGATGGCTTTTACGAAATGGAATGTCTCTCATCAATTTGACGCAAAGTTCTTCATTGCCGGAGCTGGAACACTGCAACACTACGTGAGATGACTCTTGGCAGAGTACTTGGGCTTGATTTAGGCGTACTTTTTGACTTCGACGACCATTGGAGAGATCGGCGAAGCTTCGAAAGCGCCAACGTTTACAAAGTTATAATGCGCATGCGCATGCTCGCGCGTAAGCCGGTTGACCAGCGCATGACAAATGTTGGTGAGAAGACCTCATCGGTAAAGCCCGAACTAACTGGGCACGATTCTTCGTTACAGTCCCACTGGTCGTGCGTGGTGATCCGACCCGGCGTTGTTGGAAAAGAGGAAGAAGGTGAAGACGGGACAGCCAGCCCAAAAATTTATAGGTTTTTTTTTTTTTTTTCCTGCCTAGGGAAGGCTTCGCGGTGGGGGACGGATGGGTGGAGCCTGTGGTTTGGATCCACACGCACTGGACCTGCCAAGCCAAATTGCAGCGGATGCACTTCTGCCTGCCGCTACAACCTAAACGGCGGCTAACACATGCCGGCCTGCCTCTTTCAGCCTCGCTCACGACGTCAATGGATGCCGCCATCTGGCATCTTTCTTCAAGCATTAATCGTTTGAGTTGAAGCAAGGGATACGCACCTTTGAAGAGTGTAGGTCCCTACTACCTTGGGTTAACATTTTTGTGTCTCTATCCATATTATCTCTTGAATCCGTACCATGATCCAGAATCCATAACATCAATAATTAGACATCCTTCAACATGACGATATCCTGGGGAACGTGAGTGCTTCTCCTCTGTTTACCAGCTACCTTTCCCTCAAGTTGCAGCAACCAGATTAATCTTGAACGGACTTATACTAAGTCTCCCTCTCCAGAATCCGTTCCCTCACAATCTTCTTCGCCCCCGTCCTCCTCCCCAAAGCCTTCGGCCTCTACCGCAACTTCCGCCGCGGCCCCCAATCCGTCTATGGGCCGATCAAGGTCCGGCCCGTTCGCTCCTCCGTCCGCCGCGCTCTGCTCCTCCTCTTCTCCCTCTCGCTCGCCTACCTCGCCCTCGCCCTCCTCCCCATCTACTCCCCCGAGAACATCTTCCGCCTCACGCAATCCCGTCTCCAAATCCCCGTCGACGTGCTTTTCACGCGCCTGGCCTCCATCCGCCCTCCATCCGCCGCCGACAACGCTTTACGTCACAAATTCGTCAACCTCCAATCACGTCTGCTCTACCTGCAATTCGGCCCCGACGTCTTGGCCTCATGCCCCTTTTGTTCCTCCGACGACCCCAAGTCGTACCTCTACTACGCGCTCCCGACCATCGTCGCCCCGCATCTCTTCAACCTGGGCATAATCGCCCTCGTCACTTCAACCATTTTCACCGGGCGCGACGGGTACAAATGGCGATACCTGGCGACCATGGCCTCCCTGGTCATCGGGGGTGCGGACGTGTACATGGTCAGCTCGTATAACCCGCAGACCAACGCGCGCGCGCTGCGGTTGTACGAAATCGATTTCTTCCACTGGCGACAACGATCGCTGCGCTTTCTCGTTCTTGCACTCCTCGACTGCTTGCTTGCTACGCTCATGTATCTAAGTTCGACGAACCGGATGTTCGTCAACTACCCGAGCCCGGCCGAGCGCGTGGAAACCGTGGTGCGCCAGTTGCAGCAGATTAAAGGAAAAGTCAACGCGGTGGGCGTGATGCAGAATACAATCAGTCGGGATGAGGAGTTGAGGGCACGGGGCAATGCGTATTGGCAGCATGAGGTGAGGCTGATGGGGGAAGTCATGGAGGAGAGGGATGTGGTGGAGGGGGTGAGGGATGCGTTGCGGGAGAGGGTGGTGGTTGAGAATGTGGAGAGGGATGCGGAAATTTATGTGAGGGCCATGTTGCCGCCTTTTTCGGCGGCCATGTATGGTGGGGGTGGAGAAAGGTCGAAGGATGATTAGATGAGAGGGGTTTTTGGTTCGAGATGTATTGCTTTTTTTGTTTTGCGTTTTGGTTGACCATGTTTCATTAGTTGGCATGGCGTTGTGGATATGGCATGCGGTATCTAGAGCGGTTATAGATCTTTTTCAAGGTGCTTTGCCTACGTGGGTATGCTGTATGATGGATACCGCGAGTTCTTCTCCCAAGAGCCGATGGATGATCTATGTTAGAACCAGTTAAGTTACGCTGCATCCGGGTAATGCTAGGCTATTCATAACTAATTATACCAGTACCCAGAACATGGAGAAGCATATTGACATCTCTTTGGTTTGACGCTAGTTGTAACTCCTATCCAGTAAGACACTACCAGTTTCCGCTACATACCCAATGTAGTTTTGTTTAGCCACCACCTCTTTTCCATTTCCTCAGTTCGTTGTTCCCTTTCTACACTAAGACGGTCCAACGGCGCTACCCCACTGTCTCTAATGATGAACGCTTTCCAGATATCTTCTTTCCCATTTATCATATTACATATTTACCGTTACGTATAGATCTTTTAGTATCTTTTTTTTTTTTTTGCCTCCCCATGTCAACCGCACCTTGACCAAACCCAACCAAGGGTCCTCGAGTCTACCGTGCTGATTCATATCCCCAACCGCCTGCCTCCTCCTTCTTCCCCACCAAACCCTAGAAACCAACTATGCATACCCCCCCGTATTCCCCGTATTCCCCGTGCCCGTACTACTCGTACTATCTTTCCTTTTGTTTGGCGGCTGCGCCGACGCCTCCTCCACGCTCCGTTCCAAAAACCCAGCCCACAAATCAGCCAGCGACTCACGACCACCGCCTGTGCTGCCCTCTCTTACCGACCCGGCAGTGGGAGACATGGTGCTGCTGTTGTTGGTGTGGGAAGACATGTCGGAGAAGAAATCGTGATTCAAGGAGGGGGAGCTGGGCGTCCGGTGGAAGGGCGAGGTGGGTAACCGTAAAAGCGAAGAGGCGCTGCCGAGCCCCCCGCCAGAACCACCTGGGCGGGCGAGACCAGCTTGTTCGCGTTGCTCGTCGGTCCAGTTGAGGAGGCCGGCGATTACTTGGAGGATTTGGAATTTCTTGGGGTCGGAGCGGTCGAGGGAGAGGAATTGGAGGAGGTGGTTGGTTACGATTTGTCTATGAAAGGTGAGTGGGTGGGTTAGTTTGGTGATGGGTGGTTAGGTTGTTGAATAAAGGGCAATCAAAACATACCGGTCGATGGTCTCCTCAGGCTTCATCTTCTTAATGTACTTCAACGCCTTGGTCAAGTGATCATTCAGCACAATCGCCTCATGCCTCAGTTTGCCAATCAAGAGATTCTTTTCCTTGACTTCCTTCTCAAACGGCGCTGTGCGCTCCAGCTCCTTCTGGAGTGATTCCCTGGCATCCTGGGCCTCCTTGGCTTTCGCATCCGCCTCCTCGGCGCGCTTCTTCATCGCCGCCAGCTGCTCCTCGCTCGACTCCACCATCTCCCTCAGCTCGCGCTTGCGCGCCTCCTGAATCTCTTGCAGCGCGCGCTGTAGCCCGTCAATGGCCTGCGACTGTGTATTCCTCTCCTCCGCGACGCGCTCGTATGCCTCCCGCACGTTGGCCAGCTGCTCCTCCAGGTCCGTCGCCTTGGCCTCCAAGCCCTCGCGCATGCTGCGCTCCTCCATGGCGATCACCTCCCACTCGCCCATGGCGGCGCTCGTCTTTTTGAGTTCTGATCGAATGTGTTCCACCTCGCGCTCGAGGTCCTCCCGCTCCTTGCCCCAGTTCTGTTGGGACAGGTTCGTCCGGCTGCGCAGGCTGTCAAGCTCGCGCGCCTGCTCGTCCACCTGCTCGCGCAGCCGGACGGCTTCCTCCTCCTGGGTTTGCGCCGCCTGCTGCAGCTCCTCGTTGGCTGTCTCGAGCTCCTCCACGCGCGCCCGGTCCCGTTTGAGGCGCTCGCCGAGGGTCTCCTTGATCTTCTCGACGCGGTCGAGCAGATTCTGGTACTGTGTCTCGGCGTGCTCCTTGGCGGCTTCGGATTCTTCGAGGTCGGACCGAAGCTGGGACACTTCTTCGTCGTGGGTGCTTTGTATGCTCTCGAGTTGCTTGCGCAGCTGCTCGACTTCGGCACGGAGGGCCTCGCGGTCTTGCGACATGGCTTCAAGCTTGGCGCTGGTTTCTGTGCTATTGTTGGTGGTGGTGGTGCTGCTGGTGGTTGCTGATGTCTCGTCGGCGGTAGTAGAGTTGGTTACTGGAGACCCCTCCGTCGGCGGTGGGGATGTTGTAGTAGACATTGTAGGAGCAGTTGTTGTTGTTGTAGAGAGATTGGGGATGTGACCGTTTGCGCTGTCGGGAGCATGTCCGTTGGTATCGATGGTACCAGCAGCAGCAGCAGCAGCAGCAGCAGCAGCAGCAGGTGTTGTTGCTGTCGTGTCCTCTGCTGGGCTGGCAGCTGATGCCGACTCGGATTCAGGGTCCGGGTCCGGGGCCGGATTGGGATCCCCGTCTGGCGGTGGCGGTGGGTTTTCAGATTCGGAGTGGTCGGCCACAGTTGCGGGTACCTCTATGTCGGTGTCCTCGTCCTCTGCTGGTGCTTCGACCTGGTCGAGTTTCGGTGATGTGTTCTGTACACCCTTGTAGAGACCCAATCGGGGTCCTTTGTTAGCGTTCAAGCCGGCGAAATACATTATGATTAGAGTAAGGGGATTAAAAAATGTTGTTCAAATAAAAAAACGAAGCGGCTGTAACTAGCATGGCAAACAGTGCTTCAACAAAAATAGAGAACTGAACATGACGGAGGCAATTGGAAAGAAACATGGGTTGAGGGAAGAAAGAGCGACGATAGCAAATGTTGGTGGGTCGGGGGTATTCGCATACCAAGGAGGCCGGGGTTTCCTCTACAGGCAGAGCAGTTTCCTCTTCAGTATGCTCTGCTCTTTCAGCCGCTGGCGCTGCTTCTGCCTCTACTTGTGGTGGTGGTGGTGGTGCTGGTGGTGCTGGTGGTTGGTCTGACAGGACTTCGGCATCTGGTGCAGCATCTGGTGTGTTGCTCCCGCCGCCCTCCTTCGGCTTCGCCTTGATATTACTGGTGGCGGCGGCGCCCTTCTTCTTGTTGTTGTTGCTGTTGTTCTTCTTCCTCTTGTTGGCGGGCGAGGGCGCGGGTGACGACGAGACTGCCGGCAGATGGCAAGGCGTCAGTCAGTCGAAAACGAGATCAGAAGGGTGTACTTGATTTCCATCCCGAGCCCAAATCGTTTCAGAAAGCTGTCCTGTTAGGTACCATTCCGGACCTCTGGCCAGCCATGCTAGCTAGTGCTGTGCAGGGTAATTGGTACACTACATTGGGCGGGGGGACCCCATGGGCGCGAGAAGCGAATGGAGATGGCGTGGATGGTTGTGACAGGAGCAGGTCCAGATTCGGGGCAACGTCACGTACCTTGGCCAGCCGATTGGGCGGCCTTGGTGACCGGCGCCGAGGGCGACATGGTCAATTCCACTTGTTCAATTGCGACGACAGGGTGTAGTACACTATTGTCAATCTCCAAGCGGTTGCCAAAAGACCAAAGGTGTGGTTGGCGTTTGGCTCCCCAGTCCTTTTGGCGTGTAGAGTGAAATTTACAACATGACAACAATGCTGGCAAAGCCGGGGCTGACGGGGAGGGCGGATTGTCCTCCGTTCGAGTCCTGTCAGTGTCACTGCCCTGAACTGCCGCTTTGGGACCGACCCGGACTCCAAAATCTGCCCGTTGGTTCTGATGCTTGCCCTTGCCCGTCTCTGGAATTTGTTGCAGTGGAGTTTACTCCGAATTATTGAGGTACCTCTTCCTTGTCCAGCTTTTGTGGTGCCTGGCCACCACTCATGCTTCCACCCTTCCATTCTCGGCGTGTCTTGTATGTACTTCACTCACTCGGGGACGCGTGTACTCATTTCCAAACCTTCCATAAAAAGAGCTCTGACGGGACGTTGAGATGATATGAAACACTCGCACAACAAACTCAGCCCCACGGACATCTCTTCTTCCTGTTTCCAATGGCAGTCTATCAGTGGGAACTTTCATCAGCCAGTTTCCTGTCTCGTCTATCTTTGGGGTTTGGAGGTACCTGGCAGCTTGCAGATCGGCATTCCATCTTCTCACTGCCCTGCACCCCGCGCTTGATCAATGTCCACCCACCACTAAGTACCTTCCCCATGTCCCAGCATAGCTAGCCAGGTACCTACCGAGCTTACCTAGACTACCTACCCTCTGAAGCTCGGCACCTCGCACAATATAATTGTTGGTTGTTGGATACGAGTGCCTGGCTGTCTTCTGGCGGTTGCATCCGTCTTGTACACCGGAAGTTGTCTTATTGACATCTCGGCTGGTCTGTCCAGTTTGGTTCGGTACGGTACCTCCTCATGTGTGTTCTTGAATGAGCAGGTACCTTGACGGCAGTGGACATAGGAGCCAACATGAAGGCTCCTTGTTCCTCACTTGCGATGAAGCTCCATTTGCTTAATTTCTTTCTGAAACCAGTCGTTATAGATGGGAACAAAGCATTGTTTGGATAGACATACAATTATCCCTTCACTTTGCGGCACTCTGGAACGTCGACTTCACATTCCTGAGTGACGTCTTGTCGTTACAAAGGCGTACATTCCGGCTAAGTGACCGTAACTTACAAACACACACCAATCGTGCAGAATCGTAGTTTTAGGAAAGTTAGTACAAGTGCGAACGCACGACCCACATCCAGGTCCAACGCACGAGCCACGCTGTAGAATAAAAGAGAGCCAATCCGTCCGCAAATTTTCGGAATCTTCTTTTTCTCTCCTTTTCTTCTTCACATATTTCCCCTTCGCCTGCAGGCAGGTAACGTTTTTCCAGCTTCGGCTGGGAAGATGTCCACCTGTCGGATTTGTCTCTTTTTCTTTTCTAGAAAAAGAACTCAATGACTCTGTTCGCAAGACAGGAAGAAGTAGAACAGATTTTCACAGCGCGCTTTATAATCCTGATCGGCCTTCTTTTTTTCTCCTAATGGGTCTTGTTCAGGTTCGCTTGGTGCGTACATCAAACCTACAGCTTAGAACTATATTACACACATTGCACTTCATCCATTGCATACGGAAAGATGTGGTGTTTTTGTACACAACATCGAAATTTGTGTCCAACTATGCTGATGGAATCAGACAATGTGACATCCCAAACCCAAACCCAAACCCAAACACACACACACACACACACACACACACACACACACACACACAAACATGTAACATATACATTTTGATGAGAAACCCATGCAATGAAAGAAAATGAAAATTTGCTTCTATGGACAACAACAATAAAGAAACAAGTTAAAAAAACAAATGATCCCAAGCCTGGCGTCCCTTTCCTTTTCCCGCACAGTAACTTGTGACTATGTAGATGACCTAACCGGGGGTATTATTCCGAGTTAACCAGCTGGCCGCCCGAAGGTGGGTGGTAAAACAAACATCATGTAGCGCTTTTCCTGAACCTGTCCGTACAATTGCGTGGGCATCCCTTGCTTGATTGACCTCACACATGAATCACCATCCATAATCTTCTCTTCAAGCCCTTCTTCTGGCCCGTGTGCTCGTCATTGACCGGGTGGCTCGACCCGGCGTGCTCGACCGCGTGGCTCTCGTCGGAGTACTGGCTACCTAAGCCTTGGTCTTCCGGGTAGAGCGAGTAGCCCTAGCAGGCGTAGTGGCTTCCGCCTTGGGCGTGGCAGCCGCCTTCTTGGGGGTGGTGCCAGCGGCTTTCTTGGGAGTAGCAGCAGCCTTCTTGGGAGTGGCCGCGGCCCGCTTCCTTGTCGACTTGGGCTCCTCCTCTTCCTTGGTCTCCTCCTCCTTGGTCTCAGCCTTCTCCTCGGTCTTCTCCTCAGCAGCCGCCGGAACCTCGATAGCTTTGACGGGCTCCTCCTCAGCAGCGGTCAGGAGCGCGGGCTCCTTGGCCTCAGCGGCCTTGAGCTGGGGCGCCTCCCACTCGTAGTCCATCTCGGCGAGCTTGGCAGCTCTGGCCGCCCGCCTCTGCTCCTCCTTGGTGATCTTACCCTGCCACTTGGACTCAGGCAGGGCCTTCTCGAGTTGCTTGCCAGCCATCTTGTTCCAGGGGATAACCTTGAAGCGACGGTTGGCGCCCTTGAAGAGGTCCTTGTGCACCTGTGCGGGAGGGACGACCTTGGCGGTCAAGATGTGGCCGAAGAGGAGGTACTTGTCCATGGTGCGGGCGGCAATGTCGGCAACCTCGGCGTCGGCGAACTCGACGAAAGCGCGGTGACGGCTGGCGCCCGTCTTCTTGTTACGAACAACGCGGAGTCTGGTGATCTCGCCGAACTGGCCAAAGTAGGCGCGAATCTCGTGCTCGTAGAAACCGTGGGGGATGCGACCGAGGTACATGACACCGCGCTTGCCGCTGCCCTTGGTAGCACTGGCGTCCTTGTCGTCTCTGGTCTTCTTCTTGGGAATCTTGCCGACATCCTGGCCCTTCTTGAAAGTGCTGATCTGCTTGCTGGCCTCCTCGTTGTCCTCCTCCTTGTCGTCGCCGTCAAGGTTCTCGACAAGAGCCTGGGTCTCGTTGTCGAGCTCCTCCTCTTCCTCCTCGTTGTCGTCCTCCTGCTCTTGCGCCTCGGGCTCGGGTGTTGGCTCCTTGGTCTTCTTCTCCTTCTGTGCCGGCTTCTCCTTCTTCTCCTTCTTGTTCTCCTTTACGGGCTTCTGTGCCGACTTCTTGTCCTCCTTGGGGGTGGTCTTGGATGTCGACTTGTCGGTCTTGGGTGTGGGCTTGGGCGAAGGGGCAGCTACGGTGTCCTTGGTAGCCTTTTGCTTCTTGGCAGCGACGGGGGTGACATCTTCGGTGGCCTTTCTCTTCTCAGGCTTCTTGCTGTCGGACTTGGGGGTAGAAGCCTTGGACTTTTTGTTGGCGGGCGACTCGGTGGCTATGGTGAATAGGGATTAGCTTCAGTCGCAAGATTTCCATTTGGACAAAGAACTTGTCTTCAGAATGGGACGTTGTTTATAGAACTCACTCTTTGTCTCCCTTCTGCTGCGGGTTACTGGGGCCATTTTGGATGATGATGATTGCAAGTAAGAACTGTACGGTGTCTGACTTGCTGTTTACTTGGGAAGGGGGACCTTGGGGAATGCAAGCCGCCTGCACTTTTGGTCAAGAAAATTTCTGGACTTAATCGATTCTGCCACTGCACTAGCAGGCGGTGAGTCTGTAATTTCACCCCCACACTATAGCGCCAACCCACTCGCTCCGCACCGTTAACCCCAACCCCAGATGGCTTTGTTACAGACACTTACAAGTCGCAACGACCTCAACGCTCAGTCCATTCTTACTCTCTGTAGAGGCATTGACGTTGTGCTGGGTACAGCTTACTCCAGTACTATCTTCTCCATGTCAGTTTGTCATCACCTGTTCATCCAATGTTGCCAAAGAGATGAACATTACAACACCACTTAGTTTTACTTTGTCGCATTCTCATGAACCATCACTGCTTTCAATGTTAACGCCGTGCCATCAATTCAATACCGTATATACGCAGTACCGTACAAACAGAGGGCAGCTGTTGTAAGCAAGTAAGCCCAAAAAACAGTACACACACGACCACTGGTTTTGGGTGAGCCCGTGTGTAGTCTTTTTTGGGAATCGCCTGGAAAGCAAGCAAAGGACCTAGGTATAGACAAACAAGCAAACGACTTGAAAAGGGAATTGTTCCCGGCAACGTGCAGTTCTGCTCCCGAGAAGATGAATGCCCAAACATGGAAGCACTTATTTTCTTCTACATTGGCCCTGAGCATGCCTTCCATATCTCACTACATACGTGGTACACGATAAGCTGGACATGGGCAGCTGCGTCACCAGTTCCCGAAAGGCGACAAGGCAATTGATTGGATTATAACTGGAATGGCCTAGAAATAGCAGCCTTCCCCAGGGCAGCATTGGGCTGACTGTTCCCCGTCTAGACTTCCGTTCCCAGCCCAGGTTCCCGCTCCATGGATCCCGAGTGCCCCGGTACCTCTACCTACCAGTGGTGAGGGAGTACCTCTAGCGAGTGTAGGCTTCCTGTGGCCTGTGGCTCCAATAATAATCGAGTGGTTGGCAAGTTGAACGTAAAAGTCCAATGGCTGGAAATGGAACCGGGGGGATCGGCAGGGCATCGTGGGGAATCAGTTGGATACTGCACTATCAGCGCTAACCATCGCCGCCGCCGGCTTCTTTGCATCGACGAGACCTGCATTGCCTCTCTCTTGCTTGTTTCAACTTCCAAATGCCCTTTTGTCTCAGCCATTCTTCCCTCCCTTCCATACCTACCTACCCCTCGAACCTCAGCTCCGATCTTTCTTGGCTCCTGTCAGGTCTTGACATAACGACAAACAAACACCACTGACTGTCCATCGCGACTCTTGGAGAGGATTGTCCAACTTCAGCTGAGAGACTCCGTCATCGGGTGATTCATCATAACCAACTGAACCGACTTCGTCATCCTGTCATCTCAACCATCGCTTTCGTCCAATCACCCATTCAAGTGCGCTGCCACTTATCCTCACTCGATACGGTTCACGTCGTAGCCATATAGTCCCTATACGCCATTGATACCGGACTAACAC